TTATAAGCTGTAATAATACTTTAGTATAATACTTGCGCATCTGCTAAGCGTTCTCTCTAAGCTATTAGAAGAGAGTAATAAGCTTACTATATTAGTAGAATAGGCGTTTGCCTGCGTTAACTCCTAAGCGCCTGTTTTCTACATGCTTCTAGACATAATTAAACTAATATAAGTATTTGTTGCTTACACCTTAGATAACGCTATAGAGTAGATATGCTAGCACGTTAGCAAAGCGCACCTCCTAAAGATTATCTACTAAATCTATAATAACTTACAGCCGCAAGACAGGCGTTCTTCTCTTAAAGTAAGTAATACTAAGAATAGCAATCGCCTATTAAAACGCGCACAGAAAAAGCCTACTACAAAGTAGGTTAATTAACAGCTAAAAGAGCAGCTAGACTACGCGTTGCTAGAAACAGTTGCTAGTACGCAAGATGTAGCTACTGCAAAGAGAACAGATATTACTTTTTTAGAGGAAGAGTAGAAGTATTAAAACTTTGCAAAGTAGTTGTAGAAAGTTAGAGTTAGTAAAGTAGCTAAAATAATTAACTGCGCAAAAGTAGTAGCTGCAACTTCTTGTTTGCAGGATTAGAAAGCTGTGCTTAAGGCGTAGAGGGAGATGCATAGAGAAGGCAAACGTTTATTTTCTTGTATAAAGACAACAAGAGTAGCCTTTTAAGCTAGAGGCGATTTCTTTCTTAGTGTAAGCACTATATAAGAGATAGCGTGCAAAACTTAAGAGACGCTAGCTACGCTATTATAAGTAGAACAGCGAGGTTATATAGATATAGTGTTAATAAAAAAAAAAGTAGAAGGCTTTTAAAATCTATTAGCATTAGCAAGACAAAATAAGATAGCAGATATTATTAGAAGTATAAGGCATTGTTAAGTTATATCTACTCTTTATATAGAATACAAGCGTCTAGAAGACGTTTTAAGTAAGAGAGCAAAGGTAATAAGCATAAGAAGGCGTAAGATAGCAATAGTAGTATAAGAGCAACTTTTCTGTGCACTCTTTTAAGCTTATTATAAGGACTACATAAGAGATAACTATATTACACGTTACTAATTATAGAACTAATACCTAGACTACAGCAAATAGTAGTAGATATTGCGATAAAAGTTTAAGATAGGTATCTTTGTATTAATGCTAAAAGGTAGTATACTACACGCTTTTGTAGAGCGTAGACCTATACACTATCTAGAAGATTAGATCTAAATAGTTATAATATATAACAAGAATATATAGAAAATGTGCAATGCTATCTAACCTCTGTTCTTAAGATATATAGTAGAAAAAGCACCTCTAGAGCAGCTATTTCTTAAAGTAGTAGAAAAAGAAGATATAGAAGATTAGTTGTTTATAGCACTACTTAAACTTATAAAAGATAGAGACAGGTCTTTCTAGAATCTTATAAACAAATATAGGAGTCTTAACTTAAAAGACAAATTTTATTAATAAAAAGTCTTTTTATAAAAAATATAATCTATATAAGTAACTAAGTACTTTTAAGTACACTATTACGCTACTTTTTCTTTTCTTACCTGCACGTAGTCTAGCTTTTACTAGCTATATATCTTTATCTTACTGCTGTTTGCTTGCTGCTCTTACGTGCTCGCAAGCTGCTTACTAGCGCGCTTATTGCTACTGCGCATACGCTGCTTTAATAGTATATTTTCTTTATTACTGCTTAACTACTGCTTCTGTCTAGAGCTAGCGCGTTTGCTAAACTTATTTACAAAGGCAGTACTATAAGTAGGAGGAGTAATATTTACGTAGTATATTATTTTAGTAAAGTGCTCTAGTAGCGAGAGCTATAGGTAAAGCTAGCGTAGATGCGATAGGCGTAGAGTTGCGTAGGAGTAGAGGTAGCAAACGTAGCTTAAGCTAGTTCTTTTAAGAGTAGAGTAAGATACTACTAAGTAGAATTATAATAGTCGCGATAGAGTTTCTAGCTGTATAAGTAAAAGCTAGACTAGATTTTAGATTGTATATAGAAGTAAATAGAACTTCTACTATAGACTACTATTAGATCTTGTTATTAGAATTAGCTGTTAGATTTTGCTGTTAGATGTTAGATTTTGCTGTTAGATATTAGATTTTGCTGTTAGATGTTAGATTTTGCTGTTAGATGTTAGAATTAGCTGTTAGATTTTGCTGTTAGATTTTGCTGTTAGATTTTGCTATTAGATTTTGCTATTAGATTTTGCTGTTAGATATTAGATTTTGCTATTAGATTTTGCTGTTAAATCTTGCTAGCGGATTTTGCTGTTAGATGTTAGAGTTAGCTGTTAGAATTAGCTGTTAGATTTTTAACGCACAGGCTAATTTTTTAAAGATTTAATAGCAAAATCCTTAATCTTAATAGGTATAGGAACTCGCCTTAGAGCTAAAAGATAACGCAGCTGTAGCTGCTTTTTACAAAAGATTTCTTAATATTTTTAAGCTATTATTGTTACAATTAACGCTCGCAAGAGCTTGAGAGTAAGAGGAGAGTACTATTACAGTAACTACTATAGTTCTCTTAACACTAAACGCGCTACAGAATCTAGGTGCTTAGCTAAGCACTTAGATTCTGCTAATTAGCTAGCTAAGCTAAGCGCTACGCGCACAGCTCCTTGTTAATAACTTTTTACCGCCTGTATATGCTAGTTCTATTTCTTTACGCAATGTCTTGTATTACACTAGATATTGTACGTAGCTACAGTTAACGCTTCTAGTAAGCTCTTAAACTACGTGCTTATAGCGTTTTGTAATAAGTAAAGCAAAGTAGCTAACTTACTTAGGTAGCTAACTTGCTTATAAACTACGTTAAGCTTAAACTCTGTAAATAAGCTAAATAAGTATGCGTAAAAAAGTTTTATATAGAAACATAGTGCTTAAGAGCACTATAGCGTAATAGTTTAGAGGAGTCGAAATCTGCGGTTTAAAGAGTGCAAATCGCTTAATTAAGACACGTAACTCTAACGCTAAGCCTATCTCAGCGCGGTTCGGACTGCAACCCGCGCCTTATATTAGTTAAGTTCTATAATAAAGGCTTAAGACGCACGTCCCTTAAAGAAGCTAAGTACGCGCTAAACCTGCTTATAAGGCGCGCCTTACTATATAAAGTAAAGTAAGAATTATTCTCTTTATAACCTGCACCTGTAGTCTAAATATATAAGCTATCTCCTACTGTCTTTAGTAACGTGAAGCAAGCACTATTGCCTACAGTTACGCCTCACACTCGGCTAGCAGGTGATGGACTTGCCCTTTGCGTTTTCATACTGCTTCAGCACTACGTTCTTCTCGCAGTTGACAGCCTGCAGAAAGGCATCGGCGTTGGCAATGGCACCGGCGGGATTAGTGTGCGTGTTGTCGTTGGGGTAGAAGGTCTTCGCCTTGGTGGGGCCCATGGCCTGCCACTTGGCGACCGAGTACTTAGTGTGCTCAATGTACTGGACGCCAGCGGCAGTGGCGACCTGCTTGGCGTAGTCGGCGAAGGGCCAGTCTGCCTGCAGTGTGTTGCTCTTCCAGTAGTTGCGCGGCACCATGCCGGAGATAATGGGGACACCCTTCTTGGCCTTGACATCGGCAATCATCTTGTGGAGGTACCAGCCGAAGGTGTGGACGGTTTCTTGAGTGCCTTGGGAGGTGGTGACGACGACGGTTTGGTCGCCGATGCCGGCAAGGGTGCCGCGGTCCTTTGTATCGGTGGTTGGGTCAACGTCGTCGTTGTGGCCCATCTCGATTAGAACATAGTCTCCGACGTTGGTTTGGGAAAGGAGATTCGCCCAGAGACCCTCGTTGATATATGATCGGGTAGATCGACCATTGACAGCGAGGTTGGATACTGAGATGGACAGGTAATCATGGAGATAATATCCCCAACTGCAAGGCGATGTAAATGCGGATTCTTGTTCGAGAAGATGGAGATCTTGTTGCGTACCCTTGTAGCACAGAGTCTGTAGCGTAGTTTGCGGTTGTGCTGTCGGAACAGATGAGAATCTTGGGCGCCGCTGCCACCAAGGCAGCGAATGTCGTAAGTGGGAGTAGGGATTTCATAGTGGAATTGGCCTGGGTGAAGAAATTAGAACTGAGGACTTGGTCGAAGTGATCAGCGCATGCTGGACAATCTGGCTCGAGTCACATATTTGTAGGCATGGCAGTCGTACCCGGAAATATGCAACAACCCCGCGGTGGTTACCCCGCGATCTTCGTTGTGGTATCATTTACAGTAACAATCTTGCATGAGACCGCTGATCCCTTTTAGCGCTGGACTTCCTAAATAGCTCGGAGCACGGGAGAAGTCTGAGCGACTCAGGGAGAAAAACACACGACTGTTCCCGAAAGTACGCTAATTCGACAGCAAGGCTCATATATTGCAGTAGATCATCCTTGTTCCACCAATCGGCAGCACTTAAGATTCAAGGGCCTCGAAGTTCCCCTTGGTGTGAATTGTTGTTTCGACAATGTTCCGCCGGACCTAAGTGCGGTACCAAAAGTACATCCGTGCACGATTTTCCATTACTCGCACCAATAGGAGCGGTGGCTGCCCTATCCTATGCCACGGCTGGTAAGCATTGCCAAGCATGGGGTATGTGCAGGAAGCGAAAGAGAATTCGATGCGCATCATGTGCGTTGATGGCAATGCGCGTAGGTCAGTAGAGCTCAGTGCATATTCTGTTCACTGACGAAGCAGCATCTCGTCGGGCTGCAATGTTGACCGGGGCCACCATGGAATCGCTGCGAATATCGTTTTGGCTCACTCGGTGGTACCTGAATCTGGTGCGAAGCTTTGCGACGCCTGGCTTCTGCATGACTCGAGGCGTCCGGCTTGTTTTACTTGAGATCATTGGTGGAGACACGTGGACTGGCACACGAATCGACCTCGGAAACATCGGTTGAGTAAAGAAACGGCGGACAGAGATGACACTGTCAAGACTCGTTGCTCGGATGTTCCGCGTGTAAGCTTCGGGCGCTGCAAGCATGCTACCCCGCACAATTGAGGCCTGGGTCATCGCAACGATTTGGGCATGAGTCGAAACGAAAACACTGCATTAATGGCCAGCATACCCCTTCTAATCATAACTTCATTGCCGAGCGGACAATGCCAAACAGCAGTTTCTAATCAAAATACGGCCCTTACAGTACGTCACCGCAGTTGGTGGGACTGGACACAACCATCTCTGCCTCTACGTGGCACTTCAGCAATACATGGACATCTGCGCTGTGGCCGAATCCAGCTTGTTCCACTCGTCCGATGTCGAGTGCTTGACTGCTTCGACAAGCGTGGGCTTGATTATCTCCATCAAGGGCTTCCAGTGGTATCAGTAGCAAAAATCGTTCACAGAAGGATGAACAGATGCTTGCCCCTCTTCCGTTGTCAAACTGCCCTCTCTCTCTTGCATCTTCTATACGATTCAACGACAATCTTTTCTGCGGAAGAGTATGAACGACACGAGAGTCACGTTACGAGAAATCGAATGCAAGAACCGATACGCTGTGATCTGGGTCGCCGCCATTGACGTGCTCGACTCGTGCTTTCGCGAATACTAATGTGCATGTTCATGTTATTGAAGCTCAATCGTGAGATCTGGTGGTTCATCTAAGGATTCCAGGTCACCAATCTGCTGTCGTTGCAGCTGACTGTCAGTATGCGCAACACTGTTCAACATGTCACATTACCATGCTTCGAAAAATCATTCCTTAGAAACCGATAGGCATAATCTTATTCTTCTGCATACCGCAAGGTCAAGATAGTGTTCACCTCGTCAGAATTACGTATAGCTATGTACAAATAGACAAATATAAACATGTAGCTGCATAAGCTTAAAGAAGCAAAATCTAGAGGAGCGTAGAAGGGTTATATCTAAACGCGGCTAATACTAGCTGAGTTAGCTAGGCTAGTGCTAGCAGCTGCGGCACTAGCGATGTATTTTGCCTTAACAGAGGCGATAAAGCTAGCATTAGTTCTACTTAGCAGTAACATCTATCTCAAGATTCCGATTTGTCTATTCTAACATATGTATTTGACTTTCCGCATCTGATCTCCTCTTAGTATTCTGCCTCTTCTTGCTTAAGTGCTAGAATACGTGCAGACTTATAGCTATGCGTAGAGTCGTCTAGCTGGTACGACTGAGCCGAACCACATATAATACTCGGTTGTCTAGCATGTGATAAACGACTGCTAGATAGTAACTTGCGAAGCAGGGGTTTAAGAGTAGCGACAGAGCTGCCTACTATGCCAATGCCCAATTCTACAAACGTCCACATGCCTAGAGTGGCAGCATTGTCTAGGTAGTCCTTGGTGCTAGTGTTGGAAGCGAAATATACAAGGCGGATGATAGTTGCAATACTAGCACTATACATGCGTTAGTCTAGCTAAGCATACAGCTTGCAAATAGTGCACTTACAGAAAGCCCAGCGCAAGTAGGGAAAGGACGCCGATTTTCGACATGATTTGGAGCTGCACATTCCATAAGACGAATATGGGCAGAATCGCGCATGCCAAGTCTGACACAATAGACGTGGCTGAATAAAAATAGGTGATAGCCCTAAGCACGTCGGGGCTGCTACAAGTTCCGGCCGTAAGATCCCAATTAGCTACGACTGTAGTACACCGTGAAAGCAATGCCACAGTCGCGGTGATGGTCGCTGCAATACTTAGGGCTATTACACTGTACAGTATCGTCTTGTAGACCCTGTTTTTGGTGAAGCGGAGCAGGCTAGTACAAATACTGCACTTGATAAGCAGTCCTGCCGGCGCATAAATCAATCCAGTGATCCAATACCACTGTATTTACTCAGCTCTAACAGGAAAGGGCCCTGTCATCTTGAGACGTACCTTGGCACCCACGACTAGGGAATTGTAATCTAGTTTCTTGTCCGGCCTGCCGATGCCATGGGAAATGGATACGATAGAGCTAGATACAGAAATTGAGAATAGAATCTAGGTACTGTCAGATGTGGATCATCGGACAGAAGGTGCCATTTTTCAGTACCAAGCCCACGATCATCAGCAAGTCATCTGCACCCAGGCTTCTGATATATATACGGACCCATATTCGGAGGCTGACGGTAGCCCAGGAAAGCGCGAGCATTACCGAGGTCACAGTGACCACTGTGGGTGCAGGAATCATGTCAAGCGCCATACCGTCTTCGGCGACACAGAAGAAGGATGATAAGGGTTTTACGTACGGTACAGACAAAGCGCGTTCTTACTCACTATATATTAAACACGCATAGTTTCTCTTCACTATGCTACCGTAGCAAAAGGAGACTATCAATAATACGCTATTGCAAGACGTATCGCAGTAGCCTCATAATAACTTTCCACTTGATAGTGTTGTGGACATAGCCACGGGGGTGGCGACTACGGAAGACGTGCCGCAGCATTGCAATGGGATCATGGGACGGTTAGCGCGTAGACTTAGCGGCGATCGTAGCTCCCCGTTTCCCCGTACGGATCCGACTTTCGCCCCGGTGGACTACTTCCAGCCAGTCGGACTGATAGGTGCAAAGCATCAGCCATATGAGGCTTCCCCACGACATATCGCGTCCCAGTGTATATATCAGTTGCATCATGGCTTTTGTGAGAAGGTCAAGCGACTTCGGCGAAGTGCAGAGCTTTGATTTAGGTTGCCAAATCTCGTTGATAGCTGCTGCTAAGGCGATTTCTGTTCTTTTCATCTCCCAGTTGTGAGCATGCTATGCTACACAGCATAACCCCACTTCCCACATAACTTAATTAGACTGGCATGCATAGGGCTAAGCTACCTACGGGCTGACAGTACAGCCTATATATCTGAAGTCCCGCAACGCAGTAATATCCTACATTGAAAGCCCCCTTGACACTAATCATGCTACTCCTTCGTAAATGCGCAATTGGAAAAAATTGGCAAAGCGCGTAGTTCATTTCAAACACGCCAGCAAGCAGCAATGCCCGTGGTTACAAACCCCGACCCTCCGACCCTCCGACCCAACACAACCCCAACCCCCCCCCCCCTCCCAAAAGCACTAGATCGCGCCATTGTAAATATCCCTAAGCACAAGTCTAACGTACAATGCCCCTCGTTCCCCCGCCATGAAGACCTTACCAGAAACCTTTTGCGTGTCCGGACCGTGACGACTGGTCTTCATGCCCCCGAGCCCATTCTTCAGACTGCTCGCATCGAGCCTAGCAGGCGCTGACGAGACGAGTACTATCGTCCCGCGCGAAATTGATGGTTAAGATGACATATAGAAGCATTGTGGCGCCAACCAAGTACGTCACGTACTTCTCCATGGTGCAATTGGCCTTATGGCCTGCGAACGGGGTGCAGGCTCGGCCCTGGAACAGCGGCGCCCAGATAGAGGACAGGAGCTCATAGCTGGCATATCAAAGTCAGATGACTGTCCTTGCTCATGGCCCTTGATTTAAATATGTACGTACTAGGTATCCGGGTTTAGCTATGCCGTCTTCAGATCGTTGCAGGCTGCCTTGTCATATTGAAGGCCGCGGCATCCTGAGGCAAGTAGACTTTGGGGTTAGGGTTAGGGTGATTCGTTGATGCCATATGCGTGACGGATTCTCATTGCAAAGCGAAGTTGTCACAAGCTGGTAGTCCGCAATGCAGTCCTCAGACAGCGCCGCCAAGTGCCTTCTCCTCAGCCTGGCCACCGCTCTCAAGCTGTCTCGAGTTGTCGCCATTGACACCTCGCCCACTGGTAGGATCGTTCAGTGCAGCAACGGCATCATCTGCATCTGGCCAGTGTCAGCAAACATCCCTATCGTCCACCTGAGGCCTACCATTGATGCTCGCCTTACCCTGGAACCCTTTTCAGCAACCTCCCGCCCAACCCCGCGGCTTATCTCCTCCTTAACGAAGTGGTCGAAGTCCCGCTCCCTGCACTCAAACCTATACTCCCTGGCAATCCAGGCATACGTCTGCGCGCTGACCTCGTCACCCTGTACATCCCTGTGCTCAGCATCGCCGGCACGACCCTTGCTCTTTTAGGCTCTGACCTTGACGCCTATGCGTTCGCACTCGTCGCTCTTGAATATGCCAAGGCGCCAGATATTGCCGTCTGTCAGGCCCTCGACTATCGTGCCTTGAACCTCACTCCCCTACGCGGAGAGGATGACGACGGGGTAGTGGGCACCCTCGACGTGGCGGCGCTAGTGCACGTGAAGGACTGCGGGGCGGACGGAGAGCAGCGCGGTGCAGGACTGGCGGAGCCATGCTGGTGCCGTAGAATAAAGCCGTGCGCGACATGGTGCTCGAGGCCGAGATGTTGGAGCGGCACGACGGGGGCGAGGCGCGTTAGCAGTGCTGGTGGGTGTAGAGCGACGTCAGGTCTATCTGAATTGATAACCTTGGAAGTGACAATGTGGGGTAGGAATGGCGAAACGAGTTAAGGTTAAGCTCAGCAGCCGCTAACGCGCTACCTATGCTTGGGGTCGCAACTTCGATTGCGCAGTGACGCGAATGGAGATCCTCCTTTCTGGATGTTAACAGTGTCTTTCCAATCCTGGCGTACCAAAGAAAGGCCTGATTAGCGTCTATCGTTGGCCAACGGCGGGCCTGGAGCAGAGTCAGGCCCTGCGCCCTTCGCTTACAAGCGCGACCCACAGAAAGGGCCACGCCTTACGAACTTTGCCCAAGCGACACCTGTACCCCTCGCGTTACGCCAATCTCATGTGCAAGCCTTCCCGCGCGAGATAAGCTATGTGGCGCGCCTGAATACATTAGCTTCGATGCCGTGACTCCAAACCTATGCTTTGTAATGACGACTCATTTGCTGCTTGCAAACTCGTCGCGACCGCGTCACTACAAAAGAAGAGAACGAGAAGATGATCGCATCGAGTATCACGTTTCGTCTGCCATTCCATCCGAACTTTGCGTCGCGTCGCGTAGCAACACCGAAATTCCGAGCCAACAAGCGGGTAAGAGAACCACGATAACATGATCTCCGCAGACTCTACTCCAACATTGGTAGCTGTCGATGGCACTCGCGCCCTCGCGCTTTACTCTCACGGTCCGGAACCCAGCAGTACACATGATCCGGTGGTTGTCTTCGTTTCTGGTGTCGCAACCAGCAGCCTGAATTGCAGACTTGTCAACAATCAAGCCAAGCAAGCTGGGTACCCCAGCTTGGCTTGATTGTTGGGTGCCTCTACTTCAGCTTAGCTTGATTGGCTTGGTGGGTTAAAACAAGCCAGCTTGATTGTTTGGCT